CCATTTTAGGGTCGAAAACGCCAATTTGACAACTTTCGCCCCGGATACGGCGCGTCAGACAAACATTTTCTGAAGTAGCACATAAAAATACATAAGAAACAAGTAATTTCAATTTGTTCACGAACTAATACATTTTTGGGTGCTAGCTTACTACCGAATTATGGTCCTCTTGGAATAAGTTCTGCCTTTCGTAGTATTATTTGTCCGATTACTAGTAAGTATAAACACGAGGTGCCAACCCCGACCGTTAATTTGAATTTTATACCTACACCTGTTTGGAAATCAAGGATTGTGAATCAATATACACTGCACCGTTTTTCTTCAAATTTGTTCCATTAAAAGAAAACAAATTTTTCTGATGGTTACATTATACTGTTATACCGACTGAGAGTCCCTCCTTTTAGCGGCGTTTGGATCCCCAGCTGTGAGAAGCGCCCGGGGAGAAGCGCTGTACACAGCTTGGGACCGGCCCCGACAGCAATGCACTGACAGAGAGGCATTTTTGTTTAGGTTTTAATGGAACAAAAACGGTGCATTATGAGACTCATAATCCTTGATTTTTAAACACATGGTAGGTTTGAAATTCAAACTAACGGTCGTAGTTAGGACTCTGTGATAAATGTTTAAGGCCCGGGGTTTAAGGGATATTGAATTATTAGGGGCCCTGGAGAAACCAATGTGGAGGGGTCATAATATTACAAGTTCACGTGCACTTTGTCTCTAAAACGTGTAGCTTAGCTCCTCTCAAATGATAAAGTTAATACATAGGGGTTATGCACTGGAATGTTTTGGATATAGGGAATATCCTGAGGGATATACAATATATCTTCCCGAGGGCCCAAAGAGACAAAGGGAAGATATATTGTATATCCCAAGGGATATAATGCGGGACATACGATCCTTGCTGGAGCAGGACATACGAGAAATATTTGCCCGGATCTGAAATATATTCCCGGTTGATATGTCTCTGAAACCTCATCAGGTATGGAATACGTAGTATTATGTACAGCAAGGTCTAGAATAATTTGCGAATCTGGAAGGAGAGATTGACAAGGGGACATCCCAAGGTGGTTCCGAAGCAAATAACTAGGGGTGGAATTAAACATCGTAATGGGTAGGGGGTATCTAATCTGCAAACCCGTCTTTTTGGCTCGGTCTTGAAATTCTTTAGCGCAAAGTTTTTACGATGTTAGTCCCCGCTTTTTGAAAATTGTTAAAACACACTCAGACTTGAAAGTGGCACGTACAACAACATAATAAGGAAGTAAAGAATAAAATGTCTCATTAATACGGTTGACTGTATAATTCTCTCAATTTGCCATTTCTCATTGATGTCGAGTGTTATACTGTGCGTTGGTGGTTTTCAATATTGATGGACTGGTAAGGATTATGACGACGACAGCATTTTTAAAGCTTTGACTTGTTTGAATTCCCCCCCCCTCATAAGTCATTCACATTCATTCAAAATATGAAAAAGCAAAGCAACTGACTACAGAACAGGTGTACATCGATTAATATGCCTTTTATAAAATGCCTCTTATAGCAATGCCCCGAGCAATGCAGTAAAACGGTTGAAACTGGAAGCGTAATTAAAAGTATTTAGCTAAGGTTAACTAATAAAAACAAGCAACATTCTATCTACAATCAAGCTGTAATAAACATGTGCAATCTCTTAGCCCGGAGGGGGAGGGGTTAAGAGGATGTGAGCGACCAAACGTTTGTACAAAATCATGGCGTTTTTCTCAGTGATTTTCAAGTGATTTGGGGCCAAAATGTGACCTCTTCGATTTTGGATTAAAAAGCAAACCACCCCCTTGGCAAACCTGGCATTAATAAGTAATACGAAATCAAAACAATAGATACTTGGAAAGAAGTAGAACTTATCACCACCGCCAACAAAGAGAGCTACATTACTAATTATTATAATTATGAACTTTCAAGTCGTATAACATGTAACTGTTGGCATAACATAACGTATACACGCCATGTAGTATAGCCCTGTAACGAAAGATTTCAAAACAGCCTTCGTTAAGCTTTAATCAATCGGTCCTAACTTCGACCGTTAATTTGAATTTTTGGCCTACCAGATGCTCGAAAATCAAGGATTGCGAGTCTCATACTGCACCGTTTTTCTTCAAACTTATACCATTAAAGCAAAACAAAATTGCCTTTCTGTCGGTGTATTCATTACTTTATTGTAAAGAGACTCTGAGTCCCTCGTTCTAGCAGCGTTTTGGTCCCCAGCTGTTCGAAGGCCTTCTTACACATGGGGACCAAAATGCCGCTGGAAGTAGGGACTCTGTTTAAGAGAATAGTGTACCAACAGAAAGGGATTTTTGTTATGCTTTGAATGGAACAAGTTTGAAGAAAAACGGTGCAGTATGAGACTCGTAATCCTTGATTTTCAAACATCCGATAGGCCAAAAATTCAAATTAACGGTCGAAGTTAACACCGCGTGTTAATGTCCTGTTTAAAAAACAATAGGCGTTACCAAGTGGGGAGGGGGGGGGGGGGGTACGATGGGTGCGATAACCAATAATAGAACCATGAGATAGAAGAAGAAAAGGGTAAAATGTTTTTTATTTTGAGCCTCTAGCTCAATTTTGAAAGAAGTTGCATCAATATTTGTAAAATTCAAAATTAATTTATCGGTCTGTTTAAGCCACAATGCTACCCCCCTGCCGAAATTCGTTTGGGCATCACCCCCCCCCCCTCGACTGAAAGCTGGCATGATTGTGCCTTTTGAGATTCGATCAACTTGAGTTCTTCTGGGAAAATGAGGAGTCTTCAATGGTGCATCGACATAACATGGACTGGTGAGATACATGATGGAATCCCGATCATTGGAATGGTTAATGGTGTATTTGAAAAGTGCTCACAATGGTGAAAAGCTGCACGCTTTTGAAAGATCTAGACTTTTTGGCCAGGGGGGGGCTTTCACCAACCCTTCCAAAGGGACACGATATATTTCTCGAAGGCTCAGAGGGCCAGAGGTTAATATCATGTTGTCACAGGGTATAAAACCATAGGCCATATTCAATTCCGATCATGATATTCCTAGCTATCTTCAATGAAATCTGAAGTTCGAAGTCCACATCTAAACTTTGTATGATGAAACAAAACCAGAAGTCTTATATCATAAGTCTACAAAATATCCGATGACTTAAAATGACATTTTGAAATATAAAATTTTATTGAATAATATAAACACACCAGCATCAAAAAAATCATGGAAACAATATAACAGCGGCCAAACAAAATCGCTTGTTGCTCAGATATCTATGTCAGAGCATAATGATGAAATTACCATTCACATGTGTTTAATAGGCTCAAACAGAGCTTCATACTCCTTTCGTTTCAAAATCTCTTAATTTTCAAATGGGAGAAGAATTCAATTTCGTTAGCGAATTTTGAGATGAATGCGATTTTTGTGAGAGGGATTGGTCAGGACAATGTGATTTTCTTTTCGGGCGATGGACGATGGGCGGTAAACACAATATCGCGTCTTCATTACGCACCCCTTCCATTAGATTGGCAATCGTGTGTTTTCATTTCGAAGCATATCAATATTTAAATCTAATTATTTCCTCAATTGCAATGCTAGATCTAGTAGTTCAGTTATTTGTGATATTTGACGAATTTATCTAAATCGCCAATCATAATCAGGATTTGATTAGATAGGTGGCCGAAAAAGGGATCCTGTTACTAATTTTATGGAGGGGGGGGGGTGTATGTAATATCGACCAATGTCCAAACAATTATATCCTGTACTATAGGAGAAAGTACTCTTTAAAAAAGGGTTTCAAAAAACTATTTTGAATCATCGTTCTGTAATTGTGCACAGGAGTTTTTGTTTTTAGCGTAACGTAAACTATATTTTAATTCTTGTTTGCTTAAAAAGATTAATTTCAATATGATTCGCAAGTATGATCACTGCATCAAATGTGGAATTTCTTGCAATTTCTAGACGTAGGATGGTCTAGAAACTCCACGTATCTACCGGGAGAGGCAACTTAAATGAATATGCTAATTGCGTCCATAGGCGAAGCAAGGGGGGGGGGGTGCAAAAAAGATAAAACCATGAGAAAGAAAGGCTCGATTTTGAAGAAATTTTTGTAAAATTCAAAATAAATCTTATTTTTATGGCTTGTTCATGCAACAATCGCAACCCCGTGACTGAAAACCGAAAAGTTTTTGGCGATCGCACCCCCCCCCCATCCTGAATGAAAGCTGCCCTATATCAATTAGTAATGATACATTGCATACACAATATGAACACACAGTTTTTTCATCCATTTGGTCAGACGCACAATAATAATACTATTCTAGTGTCTTGCTTGATACCCGGGGTTTGATGTAACAACTTGATAGATGCCCGGGAAAACATATTTTTACTAGTTATCAGTACAGCTTGTTTGGTATTTTACAAGCTTTAAACAGTACGTGATTTATTATTCAATCATATATGTAAAACGTCATGGTATACGTGAACAGTTCGTTATACAAAATAATAAATAAAATAGATAAAAGATAAAAAGAAATTAGTATATTTCAGTGAAAATATGTCTAAATTATGAATGTTGATCATAATTGCTTATAACAATATACATTCACCTGATTCGATAATTACTTTATTCTAGATTTCAATCATTAGTCTCAAGGCGTGCCAAGACTTTTTGTCACACTCTAAGCACGTCTTTGCACTGCGTGTGCTTAGACGTGCCTAGAGATGTCTAGAGTTGGTTTCATCGCGTACCTAGACGTGTCAAAACTAGTCACGCCTAAGCACCCGGCGTGCTTAGACTTAGTTTCTAGACGTGCTTAGTCTAGAAATTCCATTTTTCACGCAGTGTTTCATACAGAAAAAGTAATGTTCATGGGATAACATTGTTATCATCTATTTTGATCCCTCAAGTCTGTAAACATGTGAGAAAGTAATTGTATGTAGCTAAAATAAATATATTAAAGAAGATCATGAGATAAAATGAAATATATGTACCCCATTTGGTGCCAAACGACATAGTCCGAAGAATCGCTCCCTTGCTGATGTCGTATTCCAAAATTCCATTTAGTTCTCCTTCAGATCCAATGTAGATGATATTAGGATCATTTGCGAATGTTAAACTTTCGAAATCCAGCAAGGCAGATCCTGAAATAGTTCAGCATACTTTAAGGACGATTATTATTAACATTTCTGATGACAATGTAAACATGTACTTCAAAATGAACTTTAAATTGTGATATATATACAACTGTTTTAATCTGTTTCAAGGCCATGAAGTACGTTATATAGCATCTGAAGTCTCAGTCTCATTTACTCTACGGCAGCCGTACTGCGGTCGTAGCTTCACAAAATCGATTTACATCGTACTGCTTATCCCAATCATTTATGCTGCATTTTTCTCTCGATTTTGGGAAGCCACAGCCGCCGTGCGGTTGTCGTAGATCAAATGTGACTGAGGCATTACCCGAGCCAGCAATATTTCCACCAACAGTTATTTCTTCCTTAAACACCCCAGTATCCAGATCAACCATGGCAATCCTGTTGTCGGAACATGTCCAGGCAATCCGCCTGTCAGGATCAATTGAGGCAAGGTCACTCGGGGTAAAGAACAGAGGAGTATTCTGCAGCGGAAGACGGTGGCAGGATGGAGACTCAAATTGTGGGAACACAGTTTCTAAAACTAATGGCGCATACTTATTCATATACATATTAACTAATTATTTTGATATTATCTGGATTATTTGCAATGAATCACTGACATATGCTAACCCTAAACTTGACCCAGTTACACCAAACAAACCACAGGTGCACCAGGTGGCTCATTTGAAAAGTATAAAAGTTTTAAAAACAAGGAACCATCTAAAAATCATTCAAAGTACTCCTCCGTAAAATCATGTCAAAATTAGATCAAGCAACACGGATCAAGGGCCATCGTAGAAACTTCTCCACTGCTGACTGTGACGATGTAATGGTAACTCACTAAATTATTGAAATCTATGTACATAGTTACCTTTTATTTGACCCGGGGGGGACATGTAAAATGTCGCACATATCCCCCCAATTAGGAACACTGTCAATATACCTGGACCGAACCAATCATCAAATCTAGAAGCGTTTCCTTTTTTGATCAAATGCAGGCGGACCTATCGAAAGTAAGATAAAACTATTTATCAAAATGTAATATTTTAGTTTCTAATGTTCTGTATGTTTAATCGTTTACGATTATTATATATCAAAATGGAAATATCAAATATGGAAGGTCAACGTTATATGTGTAATCCCAAATGAGATATGAACTGCAAAATTTTAAGATGGAAAAAGTCAATTTGAAGCGAGTTGAAAATACCTTTTTGATAGTTTTATTAAAATCATAAAACTAAATTAGCTATCATAGTTCTTCTATATAACTAATAATAGTATTGTTCATTTACTTACATAGAACACAGTGCAAGCATAGATGAACATAAATAGTGACAAAGCAAAGAACATGATGCTGATATTCCTCGTGGCCTGGTCGTGAATACCAACTAAAGCTCCTCCAACACCAAGCAGAAACATCCCAGCCTGCCCCCATTGCATAAACGTTCTTTCGTTTGCGAAGTATGTTTTAGGCTCAATTTTCAGCCTTTTTGTTGCTTTTTTGTAAGATTTGTTCCTTCCAAAACAACACCCGCTTTCAATGTTTACATCACGATCTTCAGTGGTTGTAGGGGAAACCTCAACGATACGCGAATTTTCAGATTTGGACGCACCTAAATAGAAATTAAAACATTAGAGAATCAAGCACAACTAATCCACGTTCTTGTCAAAAATACTGATGACGATCTTTAATCAAGCATAGTCTTTTTCTCATACGAATCTTTTATAAAATATTATTGAATTGAAAACATATTATTGTAGAATTACGGGTGCTTTATAGAATCAACAGTAATACTATTGTTGTCAAGGACATCCTAGGCTGTATTTAGGTATGTCATCAAAATCAATGGTGCGTGTAGAAATTCTTTATTTCGTTTTCTTACTTGGTTTGTTATGTGTTCGTGTTTGTTGGTTAGTTACCACGGCGTCTGTGAAACCCCCATTGACATATGCTTTCATATTAGATTTGCAGGTAAGGCTCATCCTTGGGAAGGAAACTTTCCGATTTAGGTCCTCGCTGATGGTGTCGACTTTGTCGCATCCTTCTCTTATCTATGTGATAATGATAATCAGACTACTGTTCACAATTGACATTCACCCACCCAATGTGGATAAAGTATTTCGAAAGACGACGTGTTTAGCCAAATTTTATTCATAATCTGATTCGTAAATATCTTTAGGAGTATGAAAAGATCTATAAAATCATTACTATATGTTTTACCCTTTCCGTTCTTAGTTTCGCCTGGTCCATTTCTTCTTCCTCGAACCAATAAGGAAATATTTTTACTCTGTCTGCATTGAATGAAGCTGCCCCTTGTTGGAACTTGGAAAACTTGCTGACCTAAATATAGATAAATGTTTTCAAGATTAGAATTAAAGAGAGAATCAGATCTAGCGAGCAGGCCAACAAAAAATTATTTCAATTTTAGAAAATTTCTGGCTCATGTCATTCCTTGTCATGTCTAATATTTTCTAAAAATCCCCAAAGTGCACACTTTATTTTCGGAAAACTAAAGATTTTTACAATAAGTTGTCATTTTTCTATAAGAATGGTTACCATTCTTATTATTTGGGAGAATTTAAACATTTTTCACCCATTTTTGAACTTTGAATCCATAATAACTTTATCAATTAACGTATCATGAATCTTTTTGGAGATATTGTATTTGAGATCATAAAGAATAGATTAATAGATCAATTGTACATGTTGCTTGCAATTTTTTCACCCCTATAGATCTGATTCTGCCTTTAATGTTAAACTACAACTCATTTTGTTTTATTCTCTCAATATCCGTTTATGCAGACACATGTATTTCTAAATATGTATGTCTTAATGTAGATATCTTGCATTTACACTAAATCGGGGCTTAAATCATTCCTACTTGTTTTAATGTGTGGATGTATGTAAAAAGTATTCGTCAATTAGGATATTTATTTAAATCATGCTAAGTATAAATGAACCAACTGAACGCCCTTTGGACTTACCATGCGTATTATTGGAGAAGAAAGAATTTCTTCGAGCCACGGAGGAGAATCGGTTTTCAACTTGACCTCTAAAACTGCAGCTTTGAAACTTAGGCAATCCTCTTCTTTGCATTCTATTGTTTGGGTTGGACGATACCACAGTGATTGGTCTCTAACATCTGGGTGTTCGTTTACAAAAGACAGAGATTGGTCCAAGCTTGAAATGAAATCATTGAAAGCTAGCCTATATTTTCCCAATTTCGAACGGAATGCGTGACATATCCGTAATTCGCGTGAAAAGTCCCAACGAAATGCGTACGTTTTTTTCCCGTCGTTCGTATTTTTGCTGTGTAGACGATCTTTTTTAGAAAATTTTCTCCAGAAATATTTTTGCTTGACAATTACCAGGTAAAATGCGTATTTGCGTGACATTTTCTGTCACGCAAAAATAATTGGCGTGACTTCAAATTCTTCAGCAAATGCGTGACAAATACGCAAATTGCGGGACAGTTGACAGGCCTGAATACTACAGGTATATAAGCTTATATAAGCTTGTATTCGCGAATGCAACTCGACTGTTGGCTATCCGATTGACCTACTTTTCATGGCAAACTCATTTAAATATGAATGGAATACTAGTAGTAGCAAGTACTATTCATATATAAATGAATTGGTTATGTAATAGTAGCTTAATCCGTCAGCCAAAAGCCGGCAGTTGAATTCATGAATGCAAGATAAGTGACCGTGCGAAATCTCTAATTCGATTAAATCATGAATTACTCATACGTGATTCTGACGTCATCAGATGACACAAGTTGAAATGCAGATCTCTTATACACCGTCCTGACAATGGGAACCAATCTTTTCTTTACGATTTCTCTTTGAATATCCTCTGCTAGGGCATTCCCAGATTTACTCAGACAGCAGTCAGCTGCGGATTTTCTTCCTGGTAGTGGCGCACATGAAAATAAGATCAAGTCGTTGTATCTTTGATTAATTAATTTTCAAAGCAGGGTACAAACTCATTGATAATATGGGTACTTGAAGCAGGACTACTGTGTAATCTTTGAAATGTGTTCATTTACAATATTCCCTTTGAAGATAACTGATAGCTAATGATATTTGCCATACCTGTTACATAATCCATGATGGAGGAACTGTCTATGGGAAATCTCTCTTTCAGACTCCTATCAAGGACCCACGACTCGTGGTGTGTCTTTCTCTCGAAATATAAACCAGTTGAACCCGTAGCAGGAGGGTTTGGAATGAAACAATTCTCATCTTTACTTCCAGAGAGCTCATTTGGATCAGCATACCTACAAAATTAATTAATCATATATTACCATCTTGTTATAAATACAACAAGCAGTCAGTCGTCGCCATAATGGCATTTTGGAAGAAATCCTTAAGTGGTACATTTGCAAAATATCTGACATACGGTAAATAACGATTTCACGATGAGGGGAGCATAGAAGAAAAACAGGCAATTCTGGGCTGGGTTGCGTCTATCTAACGCAAATTGGTCTTTATGACTACATACCATCGCAGGCGAATCAACGTTGAACCTTCTTTCATATCAAGTCTCTTGTGGTAGGAATGAAGATCCGAACTGTCGAAATAAACTGAAGATATCCAACCCGTTTTCTGTAAGCTCTTCAATTTTTCAAACTCGGCTTGGTGCTGAAACGAAGACGATAGGCTGTAAAATGAATTATTGAATGGTTTTGATAAAAACACGGGTTCTTTTTATCATTAAAGGGACTCCATGCCTATTTTCTGCAGCATTCTTTGACAAAACGAAGTCTTATTTTTGATTGATATTTCACCGGAAACCAAAACCAGCTCAAACAGACCACATTAGAGTTTACAATAAATTCTCCGAAAACATTTTCGATCTGTCAATTTTACATGAGTGTCAAGTTTTTAGCAATGTCAATGAAAGATGGTGAAGTTGTTAGCATCCCCGATTCATTCATTTTTGATATGATCATTAACCATACGCCATCTTTTAAAATTGAAATCAAAAGTTATTTAAAAATACACTTTGTGAAAAGTGGCCATTGTAATTCTATGGAACTCTGAACTTCAAATGCTGTTTCTATGTAAGTTATTTTTTCACACTTCAGTATCAACCAAAATTAAGGTTTTTATCACATCTGATTGAGTGTGTAACATATCTCAAAGATAATTTCATCCTTTTTTCAAAAATATGCATAGTGCCTGTTTAAACTACGTATATTTGATTTGCTACTCTCGATTTGAAAAAGCGAAAAAGCTGAACACAAACAAAAAGATGTATAAACATGCGTTTCCATGGTTCCACACATACAACATTTTAGAAAAGCAGAGATCAAGATGTTTGTGACACACCTCCTCATGGACGTAAAGGCCCTGTTATAAATGGACAGACGATTAATGAGACCAGGCCCTTACTGGCCCTGATTGCGTATAAGATAATGAGGGAAAGAGTTGTATTTAGGTCACCATATAAATCAATGGAGAGTACGATCATATTTTGATAGGACCTCCTCCCATTTTACACCTGGACCAATCCGCGCTGCATGTACGTGTACCTGATCAAGCATTATGCTTATCTTCCTTCGATTTAAATGTCGTTGATCGACATCGTCTTTGCCCCGATGGAATATAAAGATAGGCAAGTGCTTCACCAGCATCGTCTTCAGCTTGAAAACATCTTCACGATTCACCCAGTATTTACTGCTTTTTCTTTCGAAACTCTCCTGTTAAAGAAGGAATAAGGTTTTTACTTTGGCAAAACAGATTGTCCAAACGTTTATTTATTTCAGTATTTTTAGTCACTTCTTTGTGACTTTGTGCACACACACTTTATGCACACACTAAAGATAGAACAATAGACTAGATATGATGAGTTATTATGGGTAGGGATTGCAGAGATACCAAAACCTTGATTATCGTGTGGATTACCCTTTAATAGGTTGTCTATTGGAAACGCCAAAATAAAGTAACATATCTGTGATTTACATTCTACAGAACACCGGAAGTTCACCCATTTTGTTACGTAATCAGCCCCTCCACCTTAGTAGCACAACTGTAACTATACAAACCTGTGATGATTTATTTTCTTTAGATGGTTGTTGAGCATCTGCGTCAGTTTCAGTACAAGACAGTTTATCTTCATTTCTGATATGTTCATACAGATCACTTAGCTGGACTAACATGCCCTCCACCTCATTGGATACTTCGTCGAAAAACTGGCCCTGTTTTTGGGCTTCAAACCAATACGAACGGATCCCAACCGCTTTGTCATGTTTTTTCACGATCTTTCGAAATCCTTCATTATTGTAATGCGCAAACGTGTTTATGTATGATAATTCGTCTGCCAAGTCGTCTGCAAACTGTTTTAGACGATGGATTTCGTCAGAGTCGTCACAATTATTGCGTCCCTTGATTTCAATGTTCTTTTCAATGGTTCTGAACTTATTTCTCAATTCTTCAATCCTAGAATTAAAAAATCGTATCAAGTAGGATTTTAAGAGTGATATATGGTATACTTTCAGGTGTTGATATATAGCCGCCTTGTCCAATTTGCGTGTATACTCTGGCACGAGTGTTTTTGATGGGGAATTTACGATGACTGATACTGTACCCTATTTATTTTCGTCAAATCCTGTTCGATTTACACGTTATATTCAAATCGAATTGATTTGGTCTACACAAAATAGCAACTAATCCCTATGTACATTTTTAACTTCCAGCTTTGAATTACAAACAGTAGGATTTTTATGTACTTGAAGAAAGTTTCGATAGAGTTAAGCATAATATTTTATTATCTACACGTTTTATGGAAGTTAGGCCTAGTGGATTGAACGATTTGTTAAAATATAAGATGATGACGTCATATATTGTATTTAGAGACAAGGAGGATTGGCTACCAGGATTCCAACTCGATATTCTGCCATATATGGAGATGTCGTGGCCACAAAATTCGAATTAAACAGCTGCCATTTTATTCACTTCTTGAATCGCGAATTTTGGTCCCGGATTTTGGTCTTATTTCCATCCCAAAAAATCCAAAAGTACACAAGAAATGATAAAGATATTGATTCGAATCTTTTGGACTATTTATTATGAATTTATAGCCAGTTACAATTTCAGAAAATAACGACATTCTGACATTTTCATTGTAGGAAACTATCGAGTTGCGTCCCTGGGAGCCAATCGTCCTTTTGTCAATATTAGACCGCAGCAGCAATAGGTTTTCTAAGGAGTTCCATAGGGTACCACGTTGACCGAAATACTATTTTATTCAAACGTAAATTATTGAGTTCATGGATGCAACAAAAAGTAAAAGTATTTATATACAGGGTGGGCAAATAAAAATGGGACACTTACATATATTCAGAGCAGATATGAACTAAATGTTCAAGAGTATATAAAGTTTGAACATTTTTCGTTCATGTAATTTAAATTTCAAATCAAACAGTGTAAGTTTTCATATGTTTTTCTGCAAGCAAGAAATGTGACACATTACCTCGAAAACCAGAATTTTGGTGACATATCTTCGATTGCAGACAATGGAGATATATGATTGAGTGTAGGTATTTCTGTCGTGAATTCAAGTTGTCTAGATGAGGCTGTCCAATATTTTGTATCCTCCAAACATTAAAATATCATCTTTGAGAAAAAATATATTTAAATTATTATTTTGAGAAATGAAAGTACTTAATAAAAGTGTTTAGATCATCATCATTTAATTTTTGAATTATTTGAATTGTCTTTGTAAAACATTATTAAGCATGTGTTGAAGGATACAAAATGACTTTAAAATTATGTGAAATATAAACGTACAATCAAAAGTTAGTTGTATTCATATTTTTATGTTATATTTAAATTACAGCAAAGAATGAGTCATTGCCAAACCAAGCACCAATATATTTCACTCTCAGTTTTACATGTGATCATGTTATAACTTTGTGGGAATAGCGCTGCATGTAACCTTTACATTTCTATTCAACATGCTATGCGTTCTTTTTATTTCCATGACAGACACACAGCCATACAACTTTGAATGATGTTTTTCATTCCCTCATTGCCCACGCTGTGTGTTTTTTCATGATATTATATTTTGAATGCCGTTTGTCGTTCCCTATGATAAATGTTTGGCCTTTACCCGAAATGATAAATGTTTCTTGCACATCTTATGCCTTGGTCACATAGGCTCCGATTTTCACTACGGCGCCCGGCCGATGAGTATTTTGTTCAAAATCGGCCGGCGAGCCCGGGCATCGTACGGGCGCCGGGCGATGATCGCCACTCATCTGCCGATTTTTAGACATCGTACGGGCGCCGGCAGAGTTTTATCGCGGAGATGAAAGATTTTTTCTCAACCAAACTAATCGGTACCTACCCGGCCGTGTCCCGTCCGTTCATCGTACGATTATCTTATGCCTAGGTCACATAGCCACCGGGCGCCGGCCGATGAGTAGTCATCGGCCGATTTCTAAATCGACCGGGCGCCGGTGACTTTTCACCGATGTCTTGATCTAATCGTGAGTATGGTCACATTAGTACAGGCATCGTACGGCGCCCGCAATCAATTGAATCTGAAAGACATCGCACGGGTATCGCAAGGCTATCTGCCGATGGCCGTACGGCACCCGCCAGGACATCGGTCGATCTACAGGCCTCTAGATTTATACAAAATTCTTGTATGACCCGGTATGCCTGTTCCACATAGCGTGAATGCAAGATTTGAAAACGAAATACTTCGATAGACAGGACTTCCAGGATAATAATGTTTCCATGCAATAAAAAATCAGAAAGATCCTCTTTTGAGTAAATAGGTTCAATATTTAGAAAAAAATGCTGACATGGGGTCCCTATTCATAATTTTTCAAATTGTTTAATTGATATTTTCTACTAATATCATGGGTACTTCAATTGAAAGAAAACATATTGTTTTAATAAAAAACACTGTATTTATGCCCAGAAAGTACTCATGGTGAAAGATATGACCGTCTAAAATCACTTGCCATACTGCACGTGGTCTTTTCATCGAAGTGAACCCTGACCTTAATTCATTTTTAGATCTTTCATATAAACAAATACTATGTCTACCTGTCCATCCGATGCTATTAGCAAAATTCCATATTTCTGCAAACTTCTTTTGACTGTTCCCGTAAAGATAATTTGTTTGGTCATAAAAATATGGCCTATCTTCAAAGAAATTGGCGATTTTTTCTTCTATTTCAAGTGGAGTACCCTCTTCCTTAGACACATCTAAATCTTCATCATCCACCAGCTCAGTAGCATTGTTATTGTCTTTTTCCAAATGTCTTCCCAAGGCCTTCCTGATATATGGCCCATTGGCCTTTATCCCCTCTATCCTTAGCCTTTGGCATATTAACTGTAATTGAGACAGTGAACTTTCGTATTAAAATTGTGACCCTTGAAAATACTGTACTCACAAAAACATTCAGAAGATTTTTAGAATAAATGATTTGTAATGGTACATGCATGAGTGAATATACGCATAGAATTGTATCACTCTATTCATTGTGTATGACAGACATACACGATTAATGTCAATATAAAAACGACTAGATCAATGCAACCCACCCACCCAGCCATTCAAATGTGTGTCATTGTTTTACAGTAAGCCTTATTGTTCCATTTATGTTTTATAAAAAATCTCTGACAGTGTGTAGTAATTATAATTCCTTACCTCATTCTTTTTAAAATCTTTGTATCACTTTATAAGTAATCATTATTAAGATTTATCAAACAAATCAGCACGCAAAATCCCAAGATGACCGTGCTATGCCACCGGGCGCCGTAAGATAATCGTACGATGATCGGACGGGACACGGCCGGGTAGGTACCGATGAGTTTGCTTGAGAAAAAATCGCCAAGACATCGGCAACTTTTATCTCCGCGATAAAACTCTGCCGGCGCCCGTACGATGTCTAAAAATCGGCCGATGAGTGGCGATCATCGCCCGGCGCCCGTACGATGCCCGGGCTCGCCGGCCGATTTTGAACAAAATACTCATCGGCCGGGCGCCGTAGTGAAAATCGGAGCCTATGTGACCAAGGCATTACGGCGCACGGTGGCATCGCACGGTCATCTTGAGATTTTGCGTGCTGATTTGTTTGATAAATCTTAATAATGATTACTTATAAAGTGATGTAAAGGTTTTAAAAATAATGAGGCAAGGAGTTACTACACACTGTCAGAGATTTTTTTATAAAACATAAATAGAACGATTTGGGTCACTGTGAAACAATGACACACATTTGAATGGCTGGGTGGGTGGGTTGATCTAGTCGTTCTTATATTGACATTAATCGTGTATGTATGTCATACACATTGAATAGAGTGATACATTTTATGCGTATATTCACTCATGTATATACCATTACAAATCATTTATTTTAAAAATCATTTGAATGTTTTTGTGAGTACAGTATTTTCAAGGTTCACAATTTTAATACGAAAGTTCACTGTCTCAATTACAGTTTATATGCCAAAGGCTAAGGATAGAGGGGATAAGGCCAATGGGCCATATATGAGGAAGGCCTTGGGAAGACAGGTGGAAAAAGACAATAACAATGCTACAGTCGAAACAGAAATGTTTGTCACTACTTTAAATTTAAAAAATAAGCAATCAAATGACCATATTGAAACAGTTTATTTTAAAATAGAAACATTTATATTTATCCTAACTTTTGTTTATTTTAGTTTGTTTTGTAGTTTAGCTATCATATCTGTGTCCTCTTATATTTTGATACTTCTCTGCCATGTTATTTTCGGAAAAATTAACATGGCCGAAACTCCGTAAATTACAAAAGGCCACAGCTTTGCTGCACATTATACATTACTATCTGAAATATACAAAAGTTAGGATTAATATGTTTCTATTATTACATAAACTGTTTAAATATGGTCATTTCATTGCTTATTTTTTAAATTTAAAGTAGTCACAAATATTTCGTTTTCAAATCTTGCATTCACGCCATGTGGAGCAGTCATACTGGGTCATACAAGAATTTAGTATAAATCTAGAGGCCTAGCCTAGCCTAGCCTGCCTGTAGATCGACCGATGTCCTGGCGGGTGCCGTACGGGCATCGGCAGATAGCCTTGCGATACCCGTGCGATGTCTTTAAGATTCAATTGATTGCGGGCGCCGTACGATGCCTGTACTAATGTGACCATACTCACGATTAGATCAAGACATCGGTGAGAAGTCACCGGCGCCCGGTCGATTTAGAAATCGGCCGATGACTACTCATCGGCCGGCGCCCGGCGGCTATGTGACCTAGGCATTAGTCATTGTAGGTGCCAGGATACTTTTATATCGATTCCAATGAAAATGATTGCATCCATTGCAATCTTTAATACTTCACATGCAATATGAGCAACATGCCCGTAGCCAGCTTTTAGTAAGGGGGGGGGGGGGAGGGGGGGGTCGAACCCATCCCCCTGCCCACACATAAAC